TGCCTAGATGCAGCTGTTGCCCTTCCTCCCGGCCCTCCTCGTCCTCACCAATCTGGATGCAATGTTGTGCACAGTAGGACGAGCCAAAGGTGAGCTGCCGCTGGTACCACGCCAAGGATGGACTGTGTCTATCCAGCCAACTCATGCCTAGCACTATGGGCGTGTCTGACAGTTGGGTGACATTGAAACTGATGACCTCGCGATGATTCCCAATTTTCAGCAGCATGGATGGCGTCTGTTGTACCACTTGCCCACCCAGCAACTTCCTGCCATCTACAGTGACCACATTCAGAGGCAGCGTGGCTGGTAGTAGCGCTATGCGATGCTGCTTGACGAACTGCACCCCCACGAAGTCAGCGTTGCTCCCTGAGTCAATCGTAATGGGGACTTCCAGGGTGAGTCCATTAGGCAGCTGGAGAGTAGCAGTGAGCTGCACCACTGGCTTAGGTGGTAAGGGGTCTGTAGGCTGCAAAAGCGCTGGGGACTGCTTCATTGACGTGCCTGGTGGAGCCCCAGCGTCTCTCCCTCCAACCAGGCATTCTCGTTTCCCTGAAACTGCTCCCCTTGGAAAGCTTCCCCTGTTACTGTTGCTAAGGCTGCAGTGTGCTTCTGGAGCCTCTGGGGACACTCTTTAGCCATGTGCCGTGCACTGTCACAGATGTAACACTTCCTGGTCCCTCTAGGAGGCTTCGCTTTGACTGCTCCTGACGCTGAGGCTCCGGCAGCTGTCTGAGCCTTTGCACCACCCAGTTCCATCTGTTCTTCCCCCTCTGCCAGGACAGGCGAAAGGCGTGAACGTTCCAAGTCCCTAGAAGGAAAAGGAGGCGCTCTAGCTGGTGGGCGGACGTGACGCCCCTCCTCCCTGTGCCAAGGGCGGTCTTCTTGGCGCACCCCTATCGTGAGTGCCCTCTGCACGACGTCTGCTAGGGTTTGAGGTCTGTCCCCTAGCCAGCTCATCTTTCACTGAGCCGTGTAGCCCTTCCCAAAACAAGTCCCTTACTGCCAGGGAGTCCTTTTCCCAGCCCAGCACATTCAGCAATGCAAAAAAGCGAGAATGGTACTGACGCACTGTAGCCTTGCCCTGCCGCAATCCATGCATCTCCTGACGTGCCACATCAACGTCAACAGTAGATTGGAAGCAAGCGTCCATGGCTTTGAGAAATTCATCAGAGTCCCTGCGTGCAAGACCATCTTCGCGCCATAAATTGCGTAACCAATTCCTTGCTTCCCCATGCAAATGGGACACAATGAACCCCACTTTTTCCTCCTCATCCTTGAAGTCCTTTCGAAGTAAATGCAGTGCATATACGACGTCTGCTCTGAAATTGGGATAATGCTTCAGGTTCCCATCGAAGTGGGCTACTAAATTGCCCCCCCTTCGTCCCAGTCCGATTCCCTCTGATCTGGACCCCGGGAACCCCTCTCTGCACGCCCGATCCCACCTGGCTTGCAGATCCTGGCATCGCGCTTCTGCTTCTGCAACTGTCTTCTGAGAAACCACGACGGCAGTGGAGAGCTCGGTGACTGCGTTTTGCAGGGACGCTATCTGCTCCTCAGTAGTCATTGCTGCCAAACTTCGTGAGCTGTGCAAAAAAAAATTTTTGCTTTTGAGACGGGACTTACTGTCAAGGCTGCCTCAAGTCTTAGCTCACAAAAGACCAACGCCTACGTCTTCTTGAATACAAAGGTGTTTATTGCAGTTCATGGTTTGCTTGACATCTTAGGCGCGCAGCCTTACGTCTCTTACGCTAGACCGCCGAAGTCCCGTCTGAGTCAGTCCCTCCTCTGCACCAATTTAAGAGACTTGCGCTGCTCCACCTCTTTCTCTCCTTCCTTTTCCGCAGGGTCTTTCTGCCCCCTGGGGTTTGCCCCCTTCTGGATTCCTCTGACGCGGAATCAGACTGCTGCTCCCCCTCCTGCGGGCTTTGGGACCTGGCCCCTCCTCCGGGCTCCCTGCACTTCCGCGCGCCTCTACATTTGAACTAGGCGCGCGCGCCAAACCTCTGACTTTCCTTTTGACAGTTACACTGCTCCCTTCACTGCTCCCCTCCCCTTCCGGGAGGGCTGCTTGCTCTGACCCCCCTCCTCTCTCTGCTGCTGGAGCTCCTTCCTCTGACACACTGGAAACTCCACCCCCTTCGCTGCACTTTGGTGGGGAGGCTGGTCCTGACGCCCAGCTGCCACTTTGGGATCCTCCGCTGGCACCCTGCTCCTGACATTTCCCCCCTGGGGCTCCCCTGGCCCTGACCACCGGCGCCCCCTTCTGGGAATCCTCTGATTCGCTGGAAAGACTCATGGAATCCCTTGAGTCATTGTCGTCCTCTTCCTCGCTGGCTTGGAATTCCTCCCCTTCGCTCTCCATCTCCTGCCTACCCTGTGCCTCTCTCTCTGAACCCCTGACACCCGATATACCACTGTATTGTCCTTTTGGGCCAGTACTACTGTTACCTGTTGATAACGTGAGGTAGCAGAACAAAAAGCAATCCAATCTAACCTGTGGGACACAACCCACGAAGACTCTCCTGCCTCGGCCCTGGGCATATATCTCGCATTCATTTCAAAAACACAAGAGTGTCCCAGGTTGCGAGCTGAGGTTGAAGGAATCCCAGGTCTGCTGCGAAGTACAGAAATGTTAAGTCTTGCTATTCGAAATACAATCAGACGGTGGCAGCACTGGGCCACGTTAAAACTTCTCTTCCAAAACCTATAATGCGAAGTTATCTGTTGCTGGACTTTGGACCGGAAAAATCATTCTCAGCAAGGCACCCCCACTTCCCTCTCTCTCCCTCTGCAAACAAAAAACAAAAAAACCCTGCTGGTTTCAAAGAGTTAAGGCATTTGGCTTTCTGTTTAGAGCAAGGGTCAGCAACCTTTTTCAGCCGTGGGCCAGTCCACCGCCCCTCAGACCTTGTGGGGGGCCGGACTATATTTTTTTGGGGGGAATGAACGAATTCCTATGCCCCACAACCAACCCAGAGATGCATTTTAAATAAAAGCACACATTCTGCTCATGTAAAAACACCAGGCAGGCCCCACAAATAACCCAGAGGTGCATTTTAAATAAAAGGACACATTCTACTCATGTAAAAACACGCTGATTCCCAGACCGTCCATGGGCCAGATTGAGAAGGCGAATGGGCCATATCCGGCACCCAGGCCTTAGGTTGCCTACCCCTGGTTTAGCGCCACAGATGCTAAGCTCTTTGTCTTAGAAGGAACAGAGCAGCTGACAGGTAAGACTGATGTCTAGGTGCTCCCAATTTGCTTTCTAAAGCAGCGCAACGTAGGTGCTTTTCCCCCCCGACTGGAGAATGTTTTCTCATTCCCTTAATGCGCTTTTTGCATTGTACAAATTGCCACTGCAGGAACAGTTCTATAAATCTCCAGGTGCCTAGGCCTCTACCCGATGTCCCCCTGACCTGCAGTCCTTGGCAAGCAGAGGACGGGGTTCATGCATCTCGATGACGCATGACTCCCCTCCTGACAGTCGAAATGGATGATGTTACAGTAACCCCGCTAGGGCAGGGTGACTGAACATGATGTAGTTGGGAACCCAAAGTGGTCCCTCCACATCCCATCGCCCTGCGCAGTGGCAGGAAAAGCGTGCCCTATTTTAAAAGTATGGACTTCTGGCTGCAAAGGAAAAATTGGAATATGCTCCTAATTCTTACATTGCATCTCCAACTTGAATTTGCACCTTGGAAAGAAGAAAGGAAGAATCATCTCAGCAAAGTCTGGTTTCAGCCACAGACGGGAACATTTGCATTTGTCAAACCTAAATTTAAGTTGAATGGGACACTTTAATCACCCAAGTTGTCCGCCGTAGTTTTTCTTAAAGCAACAAAATAGAAGAAAGAAGCTTGATGGAAAAGTCCTGCCTCTTTTCTTCATTTATACCCTGGGTCTGGCTTCAAAAGCATCTCTAACTTGGACCATAAACTTCTTTTATAAATACCATTTTTCCTTGAAAGCTATATCTTACTGCAATGGCCAAAGTTTTGTCATGTGCTAGATTAAGATGCCTGACAAAAATCAATAATGCTGAGGTAACAACATTGGTTTCTGCGAGGCTCTCAATTACTTTCTCGGTTGTTTGTCACCGGGAGAATATATGATGGGTTGTTTTCCCTGCAGGCTGTAAAACTAGCCTGTTTGCCTTCCATCAACTCTGCATATGTCACTTTTACACTCCTAAGTGTATTACTGGTGTGTGTGTGTGTGTGTGTGTGTGTGTGTGTGTGTCTGAAGAGCCACGAAACGTGATCCAGTGGGCAAACCCTCCTGCCCAGGCCTTACTGAAAATGAGGGGTGCAGGTAGCAGTGGCGTCGCAATAGGAGGGCGGTCGGCGGGGGTGACAAGAAGTCACCCTCGGGGGGCTCGCGGCGGCATGAGCAGCCATTGCGCCACCACAGCTGCATGTGGAGGATTCTTCATTCACGGCTGCAGCCACGAGCAGAGGATCCTGGCACTGTCCGTACGGCACTGGAGCAGCTCTGCCAGCAAACCGCTATACAACATATGTGCAGCGTCACACACATGCGCTGTATGTAGCGACCCCGCCCCAGGTGTCACAACGCCTTCCTTCACCCCTGGCAGGTAGTGCTGTGGTCTAAACCACTGAGCCTCTTGGGCTTGCCAATCAGTTCGAATCTATGCAATGGGATGAGCTCCCATTGCTCTGTTCCAGCTCCTGCCAACCTAGCAGTTCGAAAGCACACCAGTGCAAGTAGATAAATAGGTACCACTCTGGCAGGAAGGTAAACAGCATTTCCGTGTATTCTGGCTTCCGTCACAGTGCCCCATTGCACCAGAAGCGATTTAGTCATGCTGGCCATATGACCCGGAAAGCTGTCTGTGGACAAATGCCTTAAAGCGAGATGAGCGCTGCAACCCCATAGTTGCCTTTGGCTGGACTTAACCATCCAGGGGTCCTTTACCTTTACCTACTGAAATGAATGGGAACCAAGTAAGAGCACCCCACTTGCTCTCCCTGGGTAGCGCTCATGGGATCGCTCAGCTGGTAGAGCACGAGACTCTCAAGATCATGGGTTCAAGTCCCACATTGGGCAAAACGATTTCTGTACTCAGGATCCTTTCCAACTCCACAGTTCTGTGGTTCTTTGGTTTCCATGGAGCTTGCACAGTAGACGGCAGGTGAGATGTATCTAAGGAAGGAAGAACAGCTTATTGAAACGAAGGGAGTAGGCAGAACTGGCAAAGCTCACAGCGAAAATTAGAGATCCAAATGTGGACTGGAAACCTTCTGTGGAATATCTAAATAACTATCCTCATGGCATGAAAACACGAGCAGGATTTGAAATATGAGCGACAGCAGAAAGACACAAAGGCTAATAAATTAGGATGCATATAGGGAGAGTTATAAGTTAAAATATGCAGCGTTGAAAATAAACATTGAACATCATTGAGACAGGTGGGAAGTCAATGGATAAATGGGCAAAAACATTCCTTTTTAACCAGGCCTTTGGTTGATCTGTTTGACATCCTATACCCTTTTAAAATGTGGCTCTTTTCTGGGAGGGTGTTATTGGGTTGTTGTTTTTATTCTGATTATATACATTGTGATCTTTTCTGTGAACTGCCCTGGGACCTCCGGGTATAGGACAGAATACAAACCCAATCAATCAATCAATTTAAACATATTGTTGATGGCAAAGTATGTAAACTAAACTTTTTTAAAAAATAAAAAAGAAGAAATTCATAGTGATTGTATCTCTATTTAAATTGCAGTAGTTATTTCTAAAATTCTCTTCCTCTCTCTCAATTAGCATATGTGAAAAATTGGCAGCCTCTTTTCTCCCCTCCTCCCCTAATTTTTGGTGGTGCCTTTTGGTGTCCTTCCTGCTTCAAATACGGATCGAGCCCCCTTCGTCCCTGCATCGATCAAGCCCCATCTTCTATTTTCCTAGCTCGTGCGCATTTCGGCGGTGCTGAGCAGCCTGCTGAAAGCCATAACATTCGCAAGGAAGCTTTTGGAAAGCACACCGTCATGTTATCACCCTGCTGGGATGTCTGCATCCATCTCAGCAAGGCCCAGCTGGCAAGAGGAGCGTGTTGCTCACGCTGAGACCTTTTCTTCTTTTTTTGTCTTTGGTCCTCTTTCACCTGAGCAACGGCAGCAAGAGCCAGAGGACCAGGGGAAGGGTGCCAAAAAGCACAGAAGGATGCAGCTGGTCTCCTGTCTCAGAGGACGGGAGGTTTTACTGTGTGCCCATATAACCTTCCTGCCGAACTGCCTCGTTGGCCCATCACTTGGATGGAGGCAGAGGCCATTTCCCCTGTAACCAAACGGGGTCAGTAACATTGTCCTCCTTCTGAGCCAAGCTGCCACCCAATTCACAAATTGATCTTCCGTTTCTTGATCACTACTGGGCATATGTTTGCCACTCCAAGCATGCTATGTTTTTTGGGGGGGGAGCGCTGGACCTCCCCATGAACATCTCCTTTGTTCGCTTATACAGTGGTAAAGGTAAAGGTAAAGGGACCCCTGACCATTAGCTCCAGTCGTGGCCAACTCTGGGGTTGCGGCACTCATCTCGCTTTATTGGCCGAGGGAGCCGGCGTACAGCTTCCGAGTCATGTGGCCAGCATGATTAAGCCGCTTCTGGCAAACCAGAGCAGTGCACGGAAACGCCGTTTACCTTCCCGCTGGAGCGGTACCTATTTATCTACTTGCACTTTGACGTGCTTTCGAACCCGCCAACCTTCTGATCGGCAAGTCCTAGGCTCTGTGGTTTAACTTACAGCGCCACCCACGTCCCATTATACAGTGGTAAAGGTAAAGGGACCCCTGACCATTAGGTCCAGTCGTGGCCGACTCTGGGGTTGCGGCGCTCATCTTGCTTTATTGGCCAAGGGAGCCGGCGTACAACTTCCAGGTCATGTGGCCAGCATGACTAAGCTGCTTCTGGCAAACCAGAACAGCACATGGAAACACTGTTTACCTTCCCGCCTATTTATCTACTTGCACTTTGATGTGCTTTCGAACTGTTAGGTTGGCAGGAGCAGGGACCGAGCAATGGGAGCTCACCTTGTTATGGGGATTCGAACCGCCGACCTTCTGATCAGCAAGTCCTAGGCTCTGTGGTTTAACCCACAGCACCACCGGTGTCCCTCTATTATACAGTGGTACCTCACGTTAAAAACTTAATTTGTTCTGGAGGTCCGTTCTTAACCTGAAACTATTCTTAACCTGAGGTACCACTTCAGATAATGGGGCCTCCCGCTGTCGCCACGCCACCGCCGCGTGATTTCTGTTCTCATCCTGAAGCAAAGTTCTTAACCTGAGGTACTATTTCTGGGTTGGCAGAGTCTGTAACCTGAAGCGTCTGTAACCTGAAGCGTCTGTAACCCGAGGTACCACTGTAATAGCAATGGTGCCCACCAGAGAGACACCCAACCGAATGGTAGGGATGGGCTCAGAAATGTGTATTTTGGATGAGGTCTCGTTTGTGACCACTGTGTGTTTCTTCGCCCCACCTGTCTTCTTCCCCTTGAACTTTGCTTCTTCTTTCTCAGCGTCCTTCGGGGAGTCCCTGCACCCCTCTCCCTGCTTTCCAATGCCTAGCAATTGATTTCATTCCCGGATAGCAGCTCAGCCAATTGTTGCTCATCTCAAACACCTAATAGAGAGCCAGTGTGGTGTCGTGGTTAAGAGAGGTAGACTCATAATCTGGTGAACCGGGTTCGCTTCCCCGCTCCTCCACATGCAGCTGCTGGGTGACCTTGGGCTAGTCACACTTCTCTGAAGTCTCTCAGCCCCACTCACCTCCCAGAGTGTTTGTTGTGGGGGAGGAAGGGAAAGGAGATTGTTAGCCGCTTTGAGACTCCTTTGGGTAGTGATAAAGTGGAATATCAAATCCAAACTCTTCTAATAATGCCGGGGTTGCCGGGAACAATATATTTCAGCCACTGAATGCCTGGGTGAAGAAGGATTTATTTTTTTCCATTTCTCCTATTAATAATAAGGGTAATGGCTATGCATAGCTGCCTTTCGGTGGCTGAGTGCCTCAGAGGTACTACACTGTGCAGTGTGCCCAGCTGCCCTATAAGCAAATCAAATGTTTAAAGGGGGTGTAGGAGAACTGGGACCCATTGCAAAGAATCTGGAGCTCCCATAACCACCACTCCCTAATAATGCCGCTGGTGAAAGGATTTCCAACCCCCAATTAAAAATGAAACTTAATAATAATAATAATAATAATTTATTATTTATACCCCACCCATCTGGCTGGGCTTCCACAGCCACTCTGGGCGGCTTCCAACAAAACACTAAAATACAATGACCTATTAAACATTAAGAGCTTCCCTAAACAGGGCTGCCTTTACATGTCTTCTAAAAGTTTGGTAGTTATTTTTCTCTTTGACATCTGGTGGGAGAGCGTTCCACAGGGCGGGTGCCACTACCGAGAAGGCCCTCTGCCTTGTTCCCTGTAACTTGGCTTCTCGCGGCGAGGGAACTGCCAGAAGGCCCTCGGTGCTGGACCTCAGCGTCCGGGTAGAACGATGAGGGTGGAGACGCTCCTTCAGATATACTGGACCAATATACTTCAGATATACTGGATGCCTCAGAATCTGCACACGGACGGGCTCTTCTTCAACCGTCTCCTTTTAAAACAAGCAAAACTGGACTTGGATGCTCTCACTGCCCTTGTAAGAGGTCGCAGCTGAAAGGAAGATGCCATTTTCCACATCTGCTCTGTTGACAAGAAACCAAATGGGCCCTTTTGGACAGGCAGGAGGCTGTTTTGGCAGCTGCGGCCTTCGTTCTCCGACCCTTCTGAACCCAGGTGGGAAGGGCAGCCCAATGGTGCTTTTTGCTGGCTCGAGCCTATTAACTGAAAGTTATCGTTTCAGTTTGTGCTTTTCTCTATAGCATGCCGTTTTTGGATGGGCAACCCGATCTGCCGTCTCGCCTTGCCCTTGGCATAGCCGCCGACCGTTTAGCAAGCTGCAATTTGTTTGTGTGAGCTCATCATCTTTAAAGAGCAGGCTGTTGGAGGCGTTGTGAGCGTGGCTGCGAGAGAAATGTAAAGGTTCGAGTGATGCTTTCGGCAGATTGGAATATACATAACGGTCTTAACTAGAGGAGTTTAGGCTCCAGAGTATCTATTGAAGTTAAGTGGTGGCAAACCCCCTTCATCGCTTACTTGATTGCCCCATTCACAAAGACACTAGAGATAAGTGCTTACGTCAGCCCAATATTTACATCCTCCAAATTGTGGCCAATTCAACATAAAACTGCATGCCTTCAACAGGGCTTCCAAATGGCTAAAGCAACTAAGAGTCTCTGACGTTAATATAGTTGACCATTTTAACAACGAGACATCATTTTGTATTGCTTTCTTCTTTCCTTGGGGCAACATTTCTGTGACAGCTTCTTACATTTCCAAACGTGCCTGGGGTCCAAATAAAAGGGGGTAGGGGGCTTGGGTGTCCCAACCAAGGAAGAATGGCAGATCAAGTTAATGCAGAAATGGCAAAATTAATGGGAAGAATAAGGAATCGAGAAGAAAGAATTTTCAACAAAAATTGTCGACTATCTTAAAAACTATTGTAAACAACTAAACACATTAGCAGGATTAATCTAAAAGCAAATAGTTAAAAAGTTTATTTAAAAGGAAACTAGAGCGTAGCTAAGTAAAAGGTGTAAAATGGGAGATGCCTTTTTGGAAATGATTTTATACGAAACCACGCAACGGGTTGGGAGTCAAACTGAGTATGTACTGATTTACGTGTGGTTGTTGTCAAACTGAAAACTGAAAAATAAAATGTATTTTTTTTATAATAAAAAAAGGCTTGGGACTCCTGCTCTAAGGTAAAGCAATATTATTATCCTACACATTGCCTATGGAGGGGAAAGCAAGACTGAGAGAGAGTGGAATACAGAACAGGGGTCTGGTACAAACCAGGGGCTTTATTTGTTTGTTTTATTTAGGAAATTTTTGTTCCCTCCTTTGTTATTCTCAGCAATAAAGTCAAAGTGTAACATAGCCAGAATACACAAAAACAGAGGAAACCGATGCTCAAAAAACAATTTAATTTCATAAAACCAACAATCTCAACACTTAGGGTAGTATTCAGCTACGTTTTGCTCAAGAGTAGACTCGTTGAAATGAATGAATGCCACTCATTAATTTCAATTTGTTTCCTCTTGGTAAAACTAAGCTGAAACCACCCTTAACGGGCTTGGGGGGGGGGAATAAATAAGTTTGAAGCGGATACTGAAACGTTAATCCCGGCAGTAGCTTTCATAACAAAATAAGCAGAAGTAAAACAATGCTTGTTTAATTATCGTGAACTTGATCCATAAAAGCAATGATGCTAAACTTTAGAAAGCATAATAGGAACCACATAATAGGAAGTGGTTACTGAGAGTGACCACTAGATGGAGGCAGATAGTTACTAATCTGATTTATGATATTCAACAGGGCACTTTAAGCTGCGCTCCAACTTTCTTTTTAAATCCTTTTTTAAATCCTACAACGGAACGGAAACGGGATCCATTCTGCAGTTATTTGGACTGGTGCAAATCAAATGTAAAGGCAGTGATCTTTTCATTTGTGGGTTGTAATACTGTTGAACAGAAGTGGTTGGGTGGTATAGGTCAGTCCTTAGAGCATGAGACTCATAATCTCAGGGTTGTGGGTTTGAGCCCCATGTTGGGCAAAAAGATTCCTGCACTGCAGAGGGTTGGACTAGATGACCCTCATGGTCCCTTCCAACTGTATGATTCTAGGATTCTGGGAAGCAGTGATTTATTGTAGTAGCTGTGTGAATGGCGGAGTGAGATTGGATGCATTCAAAGAGTGTCATTTATATTGATTGGGGTTATACATTTTACTATCTTTAATGCTTTTAATGTCCCATTGCTCCAGAAGCAGTTTAGTCCTGCTGGCCACATGACCCGGAAAGCTGTCTGTGGACGAACGCTGGCTCCCACAGCCTGAAAGCGAGATGAGCACCGCAACCCCATAGCCGCCTTTGACCGTCCAGGGGTCCTTTACCTTTTTACCTTTACCTTACCCTCCCAAGCATCCTCCATGGGACAGCCCTTTAGATATTTGAAGGTGGCTATCCTGTCTCCTAGGGACGCGGGTGGCGCTGTGGGTTAAACCACAGAGCCTAGGACTTGCCAATCAGAAGGTCAGCGATTTGAATCCCCGCGACGGAGTGAGCTCCCGTTGCTCGGTCCCTGCTCCTGCCAACCTAGCAGTTCAAAAGCACGTCAAAGTTCAAGTAGATAAATAGGTACCCCTCCGGCTGGAAGGTAAACAGCGTTTCCATGTGCTGCTCTGGTTCACCAGAAGCGGCTTAGTCATGCTGGCCACATGGCCCGGAAGCTGTCTGCGGACAAACGCCAGCTCCCTCAGCCAATAAAGCGAGATGAGCATCGCAACCCCAGAGTCGGTCACAACTGGACCTAATGGTCAGGGGTCCCTTTACCTTTACCTTAGCCTACACAGGGCTCTGAGCCAAAGGAGGGCATAATAATAATAATAATAATAATAATAATAATAATATAGGTACCTACTGAGAAGGTCCATCAGAAGGCAACTGTACCAAAAGGAATTATTGTGAAAATAAGAAATATTTGCAGGGGGCGCTAATTTTTAGTCCTCGTTCTAGCTGCCATGTTACCAAAGTCCACCCCTGCCCCTGAATACATCCCACCCATTTCTAAAAGGCATATACATATATACATATATATATATATATATATATATATATAGGCATCCGTCTGTGTCGGAAGACAATGGAGGTGTGTGTCTTCAGAGGTGAGGTCAAACTGTGTAAATTAGGTTCTTAATATTGTACACTGTCCTGTGATCTTTGGATAAAGGGTGGTATATAAATAGAAATAGGGACCGCTTATCAGCGGGAAGGTAAACGGCGTTCCGTGTGCTGCGCTGGCTCGCCAGATGCAGCTTGTCACGCTGGCCACGTGACCCGGAAGTGTCTGCGGACAGCGCTGGCTCCCGGCCTCTAGAGTGAGATGAGCGCACAACCCTAGAGTCTGGCAAGACTGGCCCGTACGGGTAGGGGTACCTTTACCTTTATAAATAGAAATAATAATAATAATAATAATAATAATAATAGCTAGACCATAAGTTGGGCAACCAGACTGCACTTCTACATCAGACGTTATGAGGAAATCTCTATATAGGCCTACAACAAACATAGGCAAACTCGGCCCTCCAGATGTTTTGGGACTACAATTCCCATCATCCCTGACCACTGGTCCTGTTAGCTAGGGATGATGGGAGTTGTAGGCCCAAAAACAGGTGGAGGAGGGCAGAGTTCACCTATGCCTGGTGTTACCCCAGGAACTCTGGGCGGCTTCCAACAAATTAAAACACAGTATCAAGGTACCAAGTTACAAGGTTTCAAGGAGATTCCAACTAAACACCAGGAAGCAGACATTTTGGGAGGTCGGATAGTTACAATGGAATGGTCTCGGTGGCGGGGTGCACATTTTTATTGTTACTTATTTATGATTATTACTTTGTCAAAATAAAAAATATGATTACTTTGTCAAAATAAAAAATAGGATTTTTTTTTTATAAAAAAAAGTTGTTCCGACAGCGGAAGAAACACCCTCGTGAGGCTGCGGACTCTCCTTCCTTGGAGGTTTCGAAGCAGAGGTTGGATGACCATCTGTCCTGGATGCTTGAGTTCGAGATTCCTGCATCGCAGGGGGGTGGACTAGATGACTCTGGGTACCCCTCTTCCAACTCTACAATTCGATCGTTCTACGATTGTCCAGGCTTTCAGCCTTTTCGCAGCTGCCGGGGGTCAAGCCTGCGACGCCCCGGTTGCTCTACCCACAAGACCGGTGGGCTTTCCCCCAGTTTCGCCCCTTCGCGCGCGCGCCCAAACCGGGAATTTCCTCTCCCTTCCCGTGACGACAGCAAGAGCATGCAGGCGTCACGTGAGCGCGGCGGGGAGAAAGTGCACTTCGGCGTGCAAAGCTGCAGGAAGCCTCCTCTATCCCTGACACGCTTTCCAAGAAAAACCCAAGAAATAAAACCCCCAAAATGCCCGCTTTCAACCTCTCCAAGGAAGCAGTCGTCGGGACTGCAGCGCTGGGGATGGTTGCTGTTGCTGGATTCCTAATAGGTAAGATCCTGAGACTAAGATCCCTTTGTCCGTCTTGGAAGCAGGATCCGCGTGGGCGCCGCCCTGTTGCGCGTTCGCCAGCGGCCCCACGGCTTGTTGCGCGCGTGACCCGGGCGAGGGTGGAGTCGTGGGTGGGCAGGGTGGCAGGAGGGGCAACCCAAACCCTAATGAGCTCATGGGTTTGGGTTGGGGCAAGCCCCAGTCTCCCTTTAACAGGAAAAACTGAGGGAGTTCAGGATGCTGACACTATGTGACGCTCAAAAGAAAAAAGAAAAAGGTAAAGGACCCCTGGATGGTTAAGTCCAGTCAAAGGTGACTACGGGGTATGGCGCTCATCTCGCTTTCAGGCTAAAGGAGCCAGTGTTTGTCCACAGACAGCTTTCCAGGTCATGTGGCCAGCATGACTAAACCACTTCTGGCGCAACAGGACACCGTGACGGAAACCAGAGCGCATGGAAACGCCATTTACCTTCCCGCCATAGCGGTACCTATTTATCTACTTGCACTGGCATGCTTTCTTTTTTTAAAATGTATTTTTATTAAATATTTTCTTGGTTTACAAAAGTATGTGCAATGTCTCTTTTTTCAAGTAACATTTTTTACAGATCAGTTTCATTTGTTGAGACATTAGAAAGAAAAGGGGGAAAGAGGTGGAGGGGGAAAGGTGAGTGGGGGTGGGGTCAGGTGGCAATGTTTCTATTTTACTTAATATATGTGGGGTTTTGTGTTAGGGTCGCTTGTGCAGGTTCTCTGCTGTTCACTTGTGTTCCTTTGTGGTGAGAGAGGTTGGGGTTGGCCTAGGGTGCGGTTGTTTGTTTGTGATTGGCTGTGGTGATCTTTGTTTTCATGTGTGAGTGGGGTGGGTGGGTGTTTTGGATCAGGTTAGCCATATTGATTTGTATGCTGTTGGTGGATTTTTGTCATTGTCTTGTTGGGCTGTGTGTGTGATAAAGGGGTGAAGGCCTCTTCTTCTATTTGTCCCCGTGTCAGTTTCAGTTTATTGGTTAATTTTTCTAGTAAGGCTGTTTCCCATACTATTTGGTACCATTGGTCCATGCTTACTCCTGACAGGTCTCTCCAGTGTCTGGTTATGAAGTTCACTGGCATGCTTTCACACTGCTAGGTTAGCCGGAGCTGGGACAGAGCAACGGGAGCTCACCCCATCACGGGGATTTGAACCGCCAATCTTCTGACTGGCAGGTCCAAGAGGCTCAGTGTGGTGTAGTGGTTAAGAGCGGTAGTCTCATAATCTGGGGAACCGGGTTCGCGTCTCCGCTCCTCCACATGCAGCTGCTGGGTGACCTTGGGCTAGTCACTCTTCTTTGAAGTCTCTCAGCCCCTCTCACCTCACTGAGTGTTTGTTGTGGGGGAGGAAGGGAAAGGAGAATGTTAGCCACTTTGAGACTCCTTAAAGGGAGTGAAAGGCGGGATATCAAATCCAAACTCCTCTTCTTCTTCTTCAGTGGTTTAGACCACAGCACCACCCACATCCCTTGTATTCTCGAATGAACGTTTTTTTGAAGCCAAACGTCTGACGCAGCTTCCAATTGAGTGCAGGAAGCTCCTGCAGCCAATTAGAAGACACTCCTTGGTTTTCAAATGGTTTTGGGAGTCGAACGGACTCCCGGAATAGATTAAGTTCGAAAACCAAGGTACCACTGTATAGTGTAACAGCCCTCCTGTTCAAGGCTGGATGGAGCCTGGGAAAAGGACATGATAGCAGAGTTCACTGTAGTGTTATGGTGCACTGTTCGGTTTGGGGGGCTGTGGAAAATTCACGTTGTGGCAATCTGCATGCTCCCAGTCCTGTGATGCCCTTCTATAGGGAAGAGGGTGGGGCACAGCCTTGATCTCTACTACCCCTGTCCTAGGGCTCTTGTGCTTTGATGTACACATTGAGTTTGGGATGAGCTTTACTGTTAACTTCCATGAAGAAGACAGGCCTGTAAATAGGCAGATCTGCTTCCACCATTGAAGTGAACGGGGAAACCCTTAGGTGCAAGGGAGTGATGTGTGCATGCAGCCCCACCAGAAATCTTTGGAAGCTTACGGGTTGTCTTATTTCTTTCCCAAAAGGCAGAAGATATTCAGGCCTTCCCTTTGGAACCCCCAAAAGCCGTTTCCAAGGGAAAAACAGCCCATTACTGCAGTACGTACTGGATCACTCCTTGAGGGAGCACCCGGCTTTGAAGAAGCTAAGATTGGTAAGTATGTCTTTCTACTGGGTCTATCTTCCCGACTTCAGCTCTCACATAAGTGCCCCGTTCAGAGTCCACTTAGGAACTTGCTCGTGCCCAGAACTGGGTTTTGTCTTCTCCATGAGATGATAAGGATAGACATCCCAGAAAAAATATATGGTTGTTTATTTTCTGCAATGGTTTCATTTCGCATCAGAACCGTGTTGTCTCAAGGAAAAGGTATATGGGGCCCACAGTGAAACCCACAAGCTCCGCCCCATGTTTCCGTGCTGTTTTCACCAGATAATTCCCATATAGTCTTCTAAAAAACAATAGAATATCAGTAAAGACCAGGACCCACCTTTCCCCCTGTAAATGTGGCTGGGTTCCATTGCAAGTGGAGGCCCACGGTGGCTGACTCAAGACAAGAGAGAGAGGTGCTCAGTTAGGTTTCTCCCCAACCTGCTAGTCTTGTTTGTGGAGGAATTTAGCTTTTGCTTTCCTGAGAGAACTTTGCATCATGTGAACACCAGGCTGTGTTCCTCTGAAGTGGTACTGCTAAGCCGCAGTGAGAAGTAGGTCGTATCATGGTGTGGACTCTCCTTTCCCCTTGCCTCTGTGAACTCAGTTCTAAATACCTGTGATGAGTATGAGTTACTCGTGCGTAAACTGGTGCCTCTCTAGGCTAATTTGCCTTGTTAAACCTTTCTGACTGCACAGTCCTTTCTAATTGTGACTGCCTCAGTCACTGGCAGAATCCGTCAGTGGGCGTTTCTTGAACCTCTTCCAACATAAAAGTTGTTTGACACCCAGTCTCCTCCTCCTCTCACTGCGCGAGAGTCTTCTGCGCAGGGAGGGCGTGGGTAGCGGAGGACCTGTCCCCTCCTCACTGAGTTCCAGTGAAGAGTTCTGGAGCCCTCTCTCGGATTCCCCCATCTGCCCACCTTTATCCCTGCTGTTGCACTTAAATGCTTCCCCCTCCACTGAGCTGTTTCTCCCCCTGCTGCTGGGTCCTTCTCCACCATCATCTAGGAGCCTCCCCTTCGCCTCTCGCTCCGATGTCAGTTCCCTGACAATACCCTTGCAATTCTAAATAGCCCTATTTAATGCAACAAGAGTGCCTGGCGTGCTCTGGTCACGAAGAGTCGGACACGACTAAACGATTAAACAACAACAAATGCAACAAGGCTGACCTATAGGTACTTTCTAGGAGCTTGCGACAGCTGAACCTCTCATTGTAGTGAATATTAATTCACGTAACCACTGGCGGAGGAAGAGGGGTGCGGGGGGGCGCACCCCCCCGGCAGTGCGATCCCGGTGGGGCGCCATTGCGGCTGCCCCCGAGTCCGCGCTGGGTGTGCTATGCCCCCAGGGTGCCCTGCCCTGCTCTCCGCCCCCTGGTGCCGGAGCATGAAGCTCCGCCACTGCACGTAACAGTTTTGAAAATGTGTATCCCTGTGTTACCTGTCTGTTCAGTCATGGATCAATAGTTTCCCCGCTCCCCTGCTATTCAGTGTATAGCCTTTACAATTATTATTGTGGTTATTATTATTATTATTGTTCGTCAGAGTTATCGGTTGCTTTTTCTTTGCTAAAGGCAACTCAAATGACTTACAGCCAAAGACTTTATGCAGAAGCAGGGCTTTTTTTTAGCCGGAACTTGCTCGAACTCGGGTGGCCGCCATTGCCATTCTAAGAGAACAGGCGTGGCATTCATGGAGAGTCCCGGCACCTCTTTTTCTTGAAAGAAAAATAGCACTGTGCAGAAGGTTATTGTCATTTCTCTGGTCATGCAGATGGAGAAATCAGCCAAAGGCAAATTGTGTTCACATGCACAAATAGCCCCCACACCCTATAATAACTTATAGCACTGGTTACTGATCAGTAAGTTAGCAACTTGTAATAAGCAGATGTTCTTTTCTAGGTTACTTGGAACCTTCCCAATAAAAATATGATGGTGTCTATTGACGAGGCCCAGCTTTTGGCCAACCTGGCGAGGCTGATCAAAGCAAAGAAGGTCATTGAAGTAGGTAAGTCATTCTGTTTATGCAGGGATGGCTCCAGAATGATCTGTAGGCTGAATTGCAGGATCTGTGGGTCATGTGGCTGTTGCCTGCTAATCACATCTAGAAGAGAAGTGACCTTATGTCCACTGGAAGTCTGGCATCCAGTCACTTTCTTTCTTTTTTAAAAAAAAAATTCATTGAATTAAAAAAAAAATCCACATAAAAATTCCAGTGCGTTAGAGAGTGTCAACATCCCATCCTATTTTCCATGATGTTTTTCTTATCTCCCCTGTGCTGTAACCTGTCTTCCCTCTTTTTTAACGTAGTTAAATCTTTCATTCTTTCTGATGCTCATAGTTTGAAACCTGCTGGCGGGTTCTTCATGCTATAGTATTTCTTCAAATAATCTGAAAAAGGTTTCCATTCGTCAAAATAAAAAAAACACCAGTTATCATTAGATTATCGTATTTTAGCTGTTAGCTTGGCTGATTCAACATAGCCCGTTACTTTGCTTAGCATCCAACCACTTTCTAGTTTCTGTTCTTTGGCTTGACTCTAAAGATCCCCGTGTTCTTTTCAGGCTGTGGACTGAGGCATAGGAACAAATACTCCCAATTCTGCAACAAACGTTTGTTCTTTTAGAATTTCTGTGGCTTTCTCAGCATTCAATCCCTGGCCCTCCACCTTAAAACATTGCGTTGGTTTCTCCAAAGAACGCTGTCTCCTGTCTGAACCCTGTCTGAATTATCCTAGCTTCTTGGAGCTGAGCTGGCCAGGGAATGTTGAATGGAAGCCTAGCATTGAGCAGGCTGCAACCTCTTAGGCCAACCATTCTGAGAAGTTTTATTTTTCCAGGAAGTGGCTTCCGAACTGCGCTGCGTCCCAGACCATATTGTAGTCCCAAACTTGCCACAGCTCCTGCAAATATACATTGGCTGCGGTTAGATTGCGCTGAGCATTGTGAAGTCGCAAGGGCAAACACTATAAATAAGTAAGCATTGAATAATTGCATTTCAGGGCGTAATCCACGGTCAAGAGCACCAGTCTGAGCTGCTTACAGGAAGGGCACGGCAGGGCCAAATGTGAGACAAGCAACGTCTCACGGGCTGCATGGGTGGAAAAAAAAACACTTGGCACACAAGTTTCAGTTGGGCCGCCTCTGCCACCATCTCCACTTCTGCATTAGTTACTAGAGACTGCGAGATAATTCGGGGTGGGGCAGAGGAGAGCAATTTGTGGGTTTTGCAGAGACATCCCAAGCATCCGTGCAGGGTGGGTCATTGGGAAAAGGACCAAGAGATTTGTGGAGCCTGCTGCTCCCCACCCCCCTGCTGTAGCTGTCTCATGATGCAATGGCATTCTCCAAACGGGACATGATAATATTCTAAAATATAGAATATAAATATAATATAATATAAATATAATATAATATTAAAATATAAAATATAGAATATTCTAAAATATAGAATATAGGTATAAATAATAAATTATTATTATTCCTGTGGAACGCCCTCCCACCAGATGTCAAAGAGAACAACTACTACCAGACTTTTAGAAGATATCTGAAGGCAGCCCTGTTTAGGGAACCTTTTAATGTTTGATGTATTATAGTATTTTAATATTTTTTTGGAAACTGCCAAGAATGGCTGGGGAAGCCCAGCCAGATGGGCGGGGTATAAATAATAAATTATTATTATTATTATTATTATTCAAAACCCTACCAGATAAGAATGGCAGATCAAGTTGGTGGATTATGCTGAAATGGCCAAAATGATCAGAAGAATCAGAAATCGGGAAGACCAAAATTTTAATAAGGAATGGGGAAATTTTATAATTTATCTTAAAAACCATTGTAAACAGTTAAAATCGTTAGTAGGATTGGAATAACCCACCCAAGAGGCCAGGATATTATTTTTAATATTTTTCTCTCTCTGAAAACAAGTACTGAAGACATCCACAGTCTCTCATGCCTGGACGAGGTTGTGTTAAGATACCAGTTAATGGGATCTAGAACTCGTGGAACTCTCTGTGTCGCAGAAATAGGAACCAGGCTCCGACAACTGCCCGTAATTCCTGGTGTGTTTCAGGTGTCTTTACAGGGTACAATGCCTTAAACATGGCTCTGGTCATACCCGAGGATGGCAGAGTCGTCGCCTGCGATATAAGCGAAGATTATGCCAATATCGGAAAGCCAGTGTGGAAAGAGGTAAATGAGCTGCGCCGGCACACCTGGGGATTGGGAGACCTGAGAACCGGAGCTAAGCAACATATTACATGGGAGACCTGTCATTTCAGGCATTGGTTGTCTAAGTTTTTAACTCTGAATCAAATGCAGGGAAGCACTGATTTGGTTGGCGCAGCTGGGCTTATAAGAGTATATAAACCTCTCCCCTTGATGCTGTTTCCTTCTATCTAAATCAGTGGTTCCCAGCCTTTTTTTGGCCATGCCCCATCTAAGCATCTCTAAAATCCTGATTCTGACCCCCCCCCCCGTGACATATACTGTATTTTTCGCTCTATAAGACGCACCAGACCACAAGACGCACCTAGTTTTTGGAGGAGGAAAACAAAAACAAAAAAATTCTGAATCTCAGAAGCCAGAAGAGCAAGAGGGATCGCTGTGCAGTGAAAGCAGCAATCCCTCTTGCTGTTCTAGCTTCTGGGATAGCTGCACAGCCTGCATTCGCTCCATAAGACGCACACAACATTTCCCCTTACTTTTTAGGAGGGACAAAGTGAGTCTTATAGAGCAAAAAATACGTTAATTCTTACTACGGATAAATCACGAATTTCCTGAGGTATCTGAATTCCTGCTGGTCACCAGTGCTCAGAGCAGGGGGAAATTCCACAACTGTTGACTGAGTGCTCCCAGAGCACTACTCCCCCTGAATGCGCCCAATGTGTTTTCTGTTTAGATAACCTTTTCTGTTTAGATAACCTCTCCATTGCCACCAGCTGACTGCCGTGTACATGCCAATTTTAATTTTTAAAATGTTTATGTCACAAAATATCTTTATATACCGTGTATGAGGCCCCTAGAATCATAAGAAATGCAAAAAATATATATAAAAAAATCACTGCTAATAACTCATTCTCGAATTGTCCCCCTTAAAAATCAAGTTGCCCCCCTGTGGGGCATGTGTCCCACATTGGGAACAACAGAGCTAAATCTTCTCCTCCCCAGCCCCCGGCAATCTGCTATTGGCCCTGTAGAAATACAACCGCTGAAGTGTTATTTGGCACTTACTCAGGTAACTGCTTGCGAAATAATGTTGCAGCCACTCCCTAGCAATAATGGCTACATTACCAGTAACTGATGCTGGCACCATTAGCGTCCCACAAAGTACAAAATGTCTGCGGTCACCATTTTACAAGTGCCAAAGCATATTTATGCTCCATAAGTGATGCCGCTGTGACACATTGTTTTGAAATCTTTGCTCTAGCTAGTAAAGGTAAAGGACCCCTGGACGGTTAAGTCCACTCAAAGGCGACTATGGGGTTGTGGCGCTCATCTCGCTTTCAGGCCAAGGGAGCCAGTATTTGTCCATAGAGAGCTTTCCGGGTCATGTGGCCAGCATGACTAAACTGCTTCTGGTGCAACGGGACACTGTGACAGAAACCAGAGCGCACGGAAATGCCGTTTACCTTCCCACTGCAGCAGTATCCATTTATCTACTTGCACTGGCATGCATTCAAATTGCTAAGTTGGCAGGAACTGGGACAGAGCAACAGGAGCTCACTCCATTGCAGGGATTCGAACCGCCGACTTTCTGATCAGCTAGCCCGAGAGGCTCAGTGGTTTAGACCACAGCGCCACCCGCGTCCAAATGTTGCATTCCGTCTTAGGGCATTCGACACGATCTTGCCGGATGTCAAATCCTGTTTTAAATCCTCCCTCTTAACTTCAGTGGAAGAGATTGAAACATATGCTTGATGCTTTTCTCGAAATATGAGGACTTTCTCCCCTTTTCTGCACGTACATAGTGCAATATTTTTTATCTGAAACAGGTTCTCACCCACTGCCAAGTGTATCCACGGCATATGGTTGCATGGCATAGGTGCCTAAGAGGGCAGGAGTGGCCAAGCTGGCGCCACTCAGATCCTGTTAAATTCCAGCACCTTCAGCCATGAGGGCAATTCTCAGGGATGCTGGGACTTGTAGTTCAGCAATATCTGCCACAGGGCATTGCCTCTGACATGGCGCTATTTTTGTAGATTTTATTGTGTTCTGAAAACCGAGCATTCCCATCTTGTAACAGGCAAAGAAAGAAAAAACCTGCTTATCTCATCAGAGGAGTTAGTGGCTTCTTCCTCCTCCTCCTCCTCCAATAATTAAATAAGTAGAAATTAAAAAGCAAAGAAAAAAGGGTGCGCCATTTCCTTGCCCAGTCATGCCCCACAAATTTTTTTGTAAGGGGAAATGTGGATATGACTTACATCAACTATCAGCCAACTGGCTTCCATTTGGCAGCATTCTCTGTGTTTTCACGTTCAGCCCTGAAACAAAGTGATTTCAGAATTTGTGACTTTGGCGGTTTGCCTAAGATGGCTGGAGAAAGGACCGAGGAGGTAATGGTTTGTAGCCCACAGCTAAGCCACGGCTGAACCACTCAGCTTTTATTTCCACCATCTCTCTGTTTTTCCTCTCAACTCTGATTTCCCAAATCCAGGGATTTAGTGTATGCTGTAAACAACCACCCACCTGGTCAGTTGTGGCAAAAAGGAAACTTTGCAGAAGTTGGGTTTTTTAGGCCACAAATGATGTATATAGGTGGCGCATAAAGCTTGCTTTGGGTTAGTAACACTTGTGGAGAGTGGTTTAATGTTCCACGTAATCTTCCCAGTACTCCAATTCACAGACCAGATGAAGACCTCTTAACCTTGGCCTTCAAGCAGAGCAAATGATATCCAATGAAATGGATAAATTACATATGAAAAGACATTGATTTTGTCAGGCCTTCTGTCTCAAAATCACCTATAGTGCAGTCATACCTTGGATCCCAAATGCCCTGGAACTCGGGACGTTTTGACTCCCAAACGCCTCAAACCCGGAAGTCGTTGTTCCAGTTTGTGAATGTTCTTTTGGAACCCAAACATCTGATGGGACTTCCGTGGTTTCTGATTGGCTGCAAGAGCTTCCTGCAGCCAATCAGAAGCCACGATTTGGTTTTCAAATGTTTTGGAAGTTAAACTTTCCGCAGGGCCTGCAAGACAGAGTTGTTCCACCAGGCCTTTGGTCAGGGCCCAGCCTGACTCCCACCTCCGGCAACCTGCACAGAACTTTGCTTAACGGTTGCCATTAATTTGATTTTAATTAATTTTATAATGAAATGTTTTAGAATGTTGGATTATTTGATTGTTTGATTATTTGTTTGTTGTTAGCCGCCCTGAGCCTGGCTTTGGCTGGGGAGGGCGGGATATAAATAAAATTTATTATTATTATTATTAAACTGACTTCTGGAATGGATTCCGTTCGACTTCCAATGTACAACTGTATGCCTTTCCTAGGAAATAACCTTTTACCCCTCTCTCACTTCAGGCAAGAGTGGATCACAAAATTGACCTAAGGATAAAGCCGGCCATCCAAACACTAGGTATGTCAATAATGCCTGGAAATTATAGAATGTGCAGCTGAGTTGTCATACTGGTTGAGAAGAGTAGATAACAAAATGGGTTTACCAGTTTAGAGGTGTGTCAGGAGAGTGGCTTAAAAAGTGTTGTTTTTTCATAAAGGATAGTTTGCTTTTTGGTAGGCCCCTCACCTCTGAAATGTCAACTTACACAAAATCAAACTCCTATGAATATTATGGCACAGCGCTATTGTACATTAGGCAATGCTAATGGGAGGAGTCTGCTAATTTCACTGAAACTGAACTGTCCTACAGATGTTTCCTATTTGAAATGAAATCGTCCTTTTTTTTAATGTCTAGATGAACTTCTGGCAAATGGCGAAGCTGGGACATTTGACTTTGCTTTCATAGATGCTAACAAAGATGGCTACAACGATTACTATGAAAGATGCTTACAGCTCGTGAGAAAAGGAGGAATAATAGCAATTGATAATGTAAGCACAGCATGCTTCCTCAAGAAAGTCTCGTGGCAAATTAAAAGTTCTTAACAAATTCAGTGGAACATAGGTACAGTGGTGCCCCGCAAGACAAATGCCTCGCAAGACGGAAAACCCGCTAGACGAAAGGGTTTTCCGTTTTTGAGTTGCTTCGCAGGACGAATTTCCCTATGGGCTTGCTTCGCAAGACGAAAATTTCTTGCGAGTCTTGAGATTTTTTTCCCGCTTTTCCCCCCCTTTATCTAAGCCGCTAAGCCTTTAATAGCCTTTTAGCAGCTAATCCGCTAAGCCAATAAGCCTTTAATAGCCGCTAAACCGCTAATAGCGCTAATCCGTTAAGCCGCTAATAGGGTTGCTTCGCAAGACGAAAAAACCGCTAGACGAAGACACTCGCGGAACGGATTAATTTCGTCTTGCGAGGCACCACTGTACTGGTGGAGCCCGTTTAACAATCAAATACTAAATCATTTCAAAGAATTCCAACAGATAATTCGATTATATGAACACTATAGAATCATTGAATTGTAGAGTTTTCGAAGAGGGGCACCCAGGGTCATCTAGTCCAACCCCCTGTGATGCAGGAATCTCAACTAAAGCATCCATGACAGAGGGCCTTCCATCCTCTGCTTAGAAACCACCAAGGAAGAAGAGCCCACAACCTCGTAGAAGTCCGCTCAACTGTCAAAACAGCTCTTACTGTCAGAAAGCTCTTCCTGGTGTTTAGTCAAAATCTCCTTTCTTGTAACTTGAAGCCATTGCTAAAGGCCCTGGCCTCCAGAGCACAAGGAAGCTAGCTTGTTCCATCTTCCATGTAACAGCCCTTTAGATATTTGGAGATGGCTATCATATCTTTTCTCAGTTTCCTCTTCACCAAGCTGGAACATTCCCAATTCCTTCAACCATTCCTCATAAGGCTTGGCTCCCAGACCCTTGATCATCTTGGTCACCCTCCTCTGCACACGTTCCAGCTTGTCAATATTCTTACATTGTGGTGCCCAGAACTAGACACATTATTCCAGTGTGGCCTGACTCCAGGTGTGGCAGAGTAGAGCAGGACTATGACTTCCCTTGATCTGGACACTAGACTTTTGTTGATGCATAGCATCCAGATCAAGGGAAGTCATAGAAGCCACTCCTTTATTTTTGGGTGACAGCTTTAAAGCGATAGGCCCTCAGTCACATGAGTATGTTTTACGGGGAAAATACTGGCGGTGGCGGACAGAGGGCACATATTATGCCTTTACTAACAGGAAGGAAAGGAGGGAAGGGGGAAAGCATTTGGAACTTTGTTGGGAAGGGAATTATCTCTTGTATCTTAAAAAAATCTCAGTTACTATTAGTCAATTTGTACTGGGGGGAAAAGACTAAAGTACAGTCCCTTGTTTGGGAGTAAGACTGCTTGACTCAACTTATGAGCAAAGACTGAAATATAGAGGGCCTTCTCGGTGGTGGCGCCTGCCCTGTGGAACGCCCTCCCATCAGATGTCAAGGAAATAAACAACAATCTGACTTTTAGAAGACATCTGATGGCAGCCCTGTTCAGGGAAGTTTTTAATGTTTGATGTTTTATCGTGTTTTAATATTCTGTTGGGAGCCGCCCAGAGTGGCTGGGGAAACCCAGTCTGATGGGTGGGATATAAATATATCGTCGTCGTCATTAGATGGCTTAAATCTGATTTTCAGAGCTGCAGACTACACTTTTCAAGGAGTATTTTGGTAAATGGGTTGTTTGTTTCAAATCTGGTGGTACATTGGTCAGACTCCAATGTCAGGCCCTAGGCATATATGGAAATAAATGTTGATAAAACAGAATGAAATATATGTAAATATAAAAGGTGCGCTGTGCTGTGTTTTTCTTGTAAAAATAAGTATACATTTTCTCTCCCCTGCCCTCCCCACCCTTTCTAATAGGTTTTGTGGTCGGGGAGAGTCCTTAAGCCAGCCAAAGATGACCTAGATGGCCAGCACCTCCATCAGTTGAATGAGAAGATCTTCCGTGATCCGCGAGTGAATATTAGCATGCTCACCATTGGCGATGGGGTGACGTTGGCATTTAAGCTGTAGAAGAGAAGCCCAGATGCTGTAGATGGGCTGGGCCCTGTAATCATGGGAACATTGAAGATGAAATGATGTATATTTTTGAACTTGTCTCAATAAAATAGCCTAGACTTGAAATCAGCAACTGACATAGACAAGTTCCTTCTTTTCTCTATCGCAGTCACGGCTGAAAATCATGGAGGGCGCAGGAAAACTGTATTTTGCATGTTCTCAGTGGGAGGAAAACCAAAAATTCCTGTTTTCACATGCAAAATCATACAATGAAAATAAGCTTCAAAATACCCAAGGTGTTTCCAGGACACATTGGACACCAGTTGCTTAAACGAGCAGTTCATGTTGGGAGGTGGGTGAACTGCTTCGGTCTTCATATGATTGAAAGCTCTGAAGCATAGAAAATTGCATGTTCGGGAGGAGTTGTAGACTAGTCTTCCCAGTATGATGATGATGATGATGATGATGATGTTTAAATTATTTATTTGGTTCTTCAACTTAAAATTTTACAGAGATATATCAAACATAAATCATAAAAACAAGATTCCAAGGAATCTCTTGGACTTCCATCCTCCCCTTTGTGGGTCCTCTTATTCATTTCCTTCCACATCTTTTATGTTAATCCAAACCCTTTACCTCTTCCATTATATCCAGAATCAACCTTAAACTACAAGTGATATTCGAATCCTACTAACGATTTTAACTGTTCATAAATTTTCCCCTTTCCTTCTTCAAATTTTGATCTTCCTGATTTCTAACTCTTCCAGTCATTTTAGCCATTTCAGCATAGTCCATTAACTTCATCTGCCATTCTTCTCTGGTAGGGACTGTATCTTCTTTCCATCTCCGGGCCGGTAACATCCGTGCAGCTGTGGGTCACATACATAAATACTCTTTTCTTTGGGATTTTGGCACCTCATTTTTTATTTTCTTTGTGTGGTGGATTTTATATACGTAAGATTGACCATGGTTTACTGCATTCACAAGAAAACCACTCCTTCACTGCCCTCCTCCTCCTGGCTCGCCGAAGAGAAAACAAACCAGGCTTTGTGCCTTAGTGTTGTGTCTGAACTAGCTTCTCTCCAACGCTGTCCATGGCTGAGGACCCACAGCGATCCCCAACATGCACTTGGCAGGCTGCCTCACGGCAGACGAACCCTTGCCCATGGATGGCATTGGGATAAAAGGTAAAAGTAAAGGACCCCTGGATGGTTAAGTCCAGTCAAAGGCAACCATGGCGTTGCAGCACTCATCTCACTTTCAGGCTGAGGGAGCCAGCGTTTGTCTGCAGACAGCTTTCCAGGTCATGTGGCCAGCATGACTAAACCGCTTCTGCCACAACAGGACACTGTGATGAGTGCCAGAGCGCATGGAAATGCTATTTACCTTCTTGCTGCAGCTGTACCTATTTATCTACTTGCACTGGTGTGCTTTCGAACTGCTAGGTTGGCAGGAGCTGGGACAGAGCAACGGGAGTTCACTCCGTCACAGGGATTCAAACTGCTGACCTTCTGATCAGCAAGCCCAAGAGGCTCAGTGGTTTAGACCACAGCGCCACCAGTGTGGGGCCACTTCTCTCCTACAATGATCCTTGCTTGTCTTCTACATTAAAGACGCAGAGAGAGCACGTTCATGAAAGGTGCCTCTTTTCTGATCCCATAGCTGCCATCAGGAAAGACCCGCAATGCCCGGCTAGGCCACCAATCGATGAACCATCTGTAAACTTGCTGCAAAAGTTAAGAAGGAAGCAGGGTGAAACTGAATACCGAGAATATATTATGCCGCCTCCCATTTCCTCAAAGCGTGGGTGAACCTTGAGCAACTTGTCCCTGGTTGTCTTGCATTCATGACTACTAAATATTCCTTGATTCTTTCTTTGATGCTAACGGCATTTTAATCTGCTCTCCATACCAACCCACTCCAGATATCATGGTTGTGAGTCAGCCTGAGGAGTTTCAGGAAAGCTGTGGCAGGCATGTTTGGATATGTTTTCTGCCGACTCTTCACCAGTAATATAATCACACTTCTCCATCATGAAGGCTTTATGCCTACCTACTCTAGGTATTTTTTTGTGTGTGTGTGGAATTTGATCTATGCTGCAAAACCGATTTTGGAGGTGCAAAAACATGGAACTCTCTTGTGCATTCTTCCCTGCCTCTTCGCAAACAGTGGTGTGTCGTCCCCGTCCCCTGTCCCCCATCTGTGTTGGAAGCAGGAGAAAGAGAGTTCAACCCTGCTAGAAAAGTTGAATTGTTTCAATGCCCAAGAAGAAGTCCCAACGAGAGAAGAATGGCTACAGAAATTAATGGACCACGCAGAAATGGCAAAACATGTCAGAAGAATAAGAAATCAAGACAGCAAGCATTTTATTAAGGAATGGAAATGGTTCGTTGAATATCTACAAACTGCAAACAGATTAGGACATTGGCAGGATTAGTGTAGAAACCTGCAGTTTCAAAAACATCTATGAAATCAGACGAATAAAGGAATAAGTAGAGATGGTTGGGATATGTGGGGGAAGATGTAAATAAATCTAAGGAACCACAGAAAGAGAGGGAGGGAAGTCCAAGTTTGAAATGTGAGAATTAGAGTTGAAATGTTTGTTATAAATGAAAATTCGTATAATAATTATTTTTTAAGAGAATTGCCTCAATGCCCTGCTCTTCATTTGGGCAGTGTCTGCCACCAGATGCAATGTGGGACCCAGGAACTCCGTTCGCACTTAAATGAATATCCCGATACAAAGGTACATTTCCTGGTTGCCTCAGCAGCAATGCCCTGTGGGCCAAATTACTGTATTTTTCGCTCCATAAGACACACTTTTTTCCTCTTAAAATCTAAGGGGAAATGCCTGTGCGTCTTATGGAGCGAATGTGTGCTCCCTGGGGCTGGGGGGGGGACGGGACCCGGGCATCCCCCACTGCCAGCCCCACAAACTCTGGGAGCAGCGGGAAGGCTGCGTGCAGCCTTTCCGCCGCTCCCCGAGCTGCTTTTTGGGGCTGGGGGGGGAACCCGAGCTTCCCCGCCAGCCCCACAAGCACCTGAGCAGCTCTGGGGTAGCCCGCGAAGCCTCTGCAGGGCAGTGGGGAGCCTTCATCCCGCTGCCCTGGGGAGGCTTCACACGGCTATCCCTGGCCTTTGCAGGAGGTGGGGGAAGGGACAGAGTGCAGCTCTTTCACTCCCCCCACCTCCCACAAAAGCCCCCAAGAGCCACGCTCCCTTTAAAGAGCTGTGCGGAGTGTGGGGGGGGCTCTTGGGGGCTTTTCCCCGAGGAGGGAGAAGGGGAAAAGCCCGCAAGTGCTACACACACGCTGCACGCGGCTCATGAAAGGGAGCGCTTAGCAGAGCCTGGGATGCATTAAATAATATTTTTTTTCTTGAATCCCCCCTCCCCCCCCAAAAAAGAAAGTATGGTTAGGTGCGCCTTATGGAGTGAAAAATACGGTAGCGTGTCCATGGCAAGCTAACTTGGGAAACCCAGGAAATTTGGGGCAGCGAGGGTGGGAGAAGAGTTTGCAACACTCTGCAGCTGCCTCACACTGTGAGCACTGTCAGTGCTGTAGGGTAACCAGTAAAAGAGAGGACAGGGTTCTTGCAGCTTTAACATTTGCATAGAAGAGGGAATTGGCAAGTTTGGGCAAGAGGGGGCCATTCCAGCGCACGGTGTTGCCGCTTGTCTGCCCCGGGGCAGAGAAGGTGAGCACCAAGTCCCCCTCTCTCACCAAGTTTAACCCTGCTGATGTGAGGGTTGCCCCCATCGGAAGGCCCCATCGACACACAAGCATGGCTGTCACACAGTGACCCTTTGCAGGTGCTCACAGCCTCTGTCATCTATTGCATTAATATAATAATACAATAAGAGTAACTTCTATAAAGCTGGGCTTCAGAAAGAAGGGATTCAGCTAGACTGCTAAAGAAAAAGCAATTTATGTGCATTGTATGTGTGATATAACGTTGTGTGCCACCAGATGGCAACGTGGAGTCCCGTTTTTCCCTACCAGATTTCCCTGTTTAAATTTACAGTGCTCTAGACTGAAACACTTCTTTGATGCGTCTAGATCCAGCCAAGGAATGCACAGTTGTAAAACAGTTGGAAAGAATAAATGAACAATTGTGGTGGTGAGAAACATGCCAAAGGGAGGGATTAATGCACAGTTCTGAACAATGTATTTATTTCTCTCTCTTTTCCATAACAGCGAGTACATAAACTGGCTGCTGTAATATTTATTCCTATTATTGGGAAGTTAAATATTGCCAATAACTCATTGGTTTCGCTCTGCGTTAGGTTTCATATTATAGAGGTTGATTTAAGTTTGTGGAAACGCAAACATTTATCTCTTCCTCTCGTTCATATTACCCTCCTGAGTTCCAAGCAAATTGTGCCTACTTATATTTTATGATTTTGAGATAATTAAAATATTTTATGAAGGCAACTAAAAAAATAAAATAAAAACCCTCCCCAGAGTTAGCGGCAAGGCTATTGATTGACTAGCGCTTTACTGCAAAGGGGGTGAGGTGGCGATGAATCATTCTTTAAAGGCTTCTAAGTTTCCTTTCATTGACACGCTAAACACAGCAACCTCCTACACTGCTAAGGCTCCTGGGGGAAGCTGAATATTCACAACATTTACTGATAGCGCCACACCAGAGTTACTAAAAATAATTCATGTTCGGGCCTCGCTGTCAGTTTTGGAAATAAATGCCAAACAGCTGCAAACATTTATACTGTATTGGGGGTTTTGACCCATAAAATAATACAGCAAGGAAGAAACGAATGAAAGAAAATTTGTGAAGCTTTCCATATTTTTGTACTTTGGTAACCCGATAAAGTATTTAATAAAAACAAATTTTAAAAATGAATGACATGACATGAGCAGGGAGCAGGGGCCAGTTTGTAAAAACTTAAGAGTCAAAGAATTGGAAGGGTCCCAAGGGTCTTCTAGTCCAACCCCATATTCTGCCTGACTTGGGACTCGAACCCACAACCGTGAGATTAAAAGTCTCACAATCTACCAACTGAGCTATATGTTCCTACTAAGTGGAATAGAGTCTCTTACCACGGAATGGGTTCGCTTTGACTCTTTTAATACAAAAAGCGTTGAATGGAACGAGGTTTGCTTCATAGGGGAGGGGTAAAATTGGCAGTGCCATTTCTCACATCTGTATCAATTTCCACATCTTCCCGTTTTTTCACAGTATTCCCTGTTGTTCCATTGCTTGCCATCTACACCCATAAATGTAGCTAGGGTGTGGTTTGTTTTTTTAATATTCTTATGTCTCTCACCTGCCTTTCCCCATTCTGAGCACGTGTGCAGGTATTTCTGCATTCAGTCATTCATGGATCTGTACATATCTTTATTCTGACACTAATTTTAAATCAATTTCCCTGGAAGGGGAAGGGAGGCTGTGCGGTCTGAGCCACATAAACGCCAGCGCAAGGAGAGAAGAGGCCAGGAAACTAAAGCTGGGTTGGGGTTTCAGCCCAAGCTGGCGTCCCGGCTCTCTGTGAACGCCACGTGGTGTCAGAAGTGGGAAGAGTCACGCTGCAGTGCTCGTCCTCCTTTCAAAGAAGAAAATAATTCGGGGGCGGGGTGCAAATCCCAGGAAAATGAACTGCATAAGCTGCCTATGCAGAACTGCAAGTTCACAAGTCCAGCTGTTAATTCTAAACCAAGCACGTGAAATGCAGTCTGATAGCTACCACTGGGGTGGGGCAGGGCAGGGAGAGAGAAACAACTTTTCTGGTGCAGTGCTGGGAAACAGGCAGCCCATCCAAGTGCAGAGATAACCTCGTGACAACCAGTATGTTCTGAGCACAATTCAAAGTGTTGGCACTGACCATTAAAGCCCTAAACAGCCTCGGCCCAGTATACCTGAAGGAGCGTCTCCCTCCCCATCATTCAACATGGACATTGAGGTCCAGCTCCGAGGGCCTTCTGGCAGTTCCCTCACTGCGAAAAGCAAAGTTACAGAGAACCAGGCAGAGGGCCTTCTCGGTGGTGGTGCCCACACTGTGGAAAGCCCTCCCATCAGATGTCAAGGAGATAAACAACTACCTGACTTTTAGAAGACATCTAAAGGCAGCCCTGTTTAGGGAAGTCTTTAATGACTGACGTTTTGATGTATTTTTAATCTTTTGTTGGAAGCTGCCCAGAGTGGCTGGGGAAACCCAGCCAGATGGGCGGGGTATATATAAATAATAAATTATTATTATTACCGCAACTCAGGGGGCTAAGCCCATTTCAGCTGGGGTTTTAGACCTATTCATGCATCACCACAGCAGTATTGGGGGCTAATTCACTTCAGCTCCTCTCTTAGGTCCCATCAGTGCTATGCCCTGAAAGCAGTATGGCGCTGCTTTAAATAATCACGGCTCCCCCCCCCCACCCGAGAATCCTGTGAAGTGTAGTTTGTTAAGGGTGCTGAGAGTTGCTAGGAGACCTTTGTTCCCCTTGCATAGCTAGAATTCCCATGGAGGTTTAACAGTCAATCCCTCTCCCCGGGGAACTCTGAGAAATCTAGCTCTGTGGGGGGAATAGGAGCCTCCTAACCACTCTCAACAACTGTCTGCTCCATCTTCTGGGTGACAACCCTTCAGGTATTTGAAGACCCCCCCCAACATGTCCCCTCCCACCCCATACTTTATCTCCTCCTAACTAAACATACCCAACTATGTCAGCTGTTCTTGAGTCCTCATGGGGCTCTGGGATTCTTGCATGGGGAGCTGAATTGCCCAGTAGAACTTGACCTGGACTCTCCTACATTAGGCAGATAATAGGCGGTGATAATAGATAATAGGCAGTGAACGTCCTGTGTGGGTGCCTGGAGGCGGTTGGAGGATGGATGGCGGCTAATGGATTGGGGTTGAATCCTGACAAGACAGAAGTACTGTTCTTTGGGGAAAGGGGCGGGCTGATGTGGAGGACTCCCTGGTCCTGAATGGGGTAACTGTGCCCCTGAAGGACCACGTGCGCAGCCTGGGAGTCATTTTGGACTCATAGCTGTCCATGGAGGTACAGGTCAATTCTGTATCCAGGGCAGCTGTCTACCAGCTCCATCTGGTATGCAGGCTAAGACCCTACCTGCCCGCGGACTGTCTCACCAGAGTGGTGCATGCTCTAGTTATCTCCCGCTTGGACTACTGCAATGCGTTCTACGTGGGGCTATCTTTGAAGGTGACCCGGAAACTACAGCTAATCCAGAATGCGGCAGCTAGACTGGTGACTGGGAGCGGCCACCGAGACCATATAACACCGGTCTTGAAAGACCTACATTGGCTCCCAGTACGTTTCTGAGCACAATTCAAAGTGTTGGTGCTGACCATTAAAGCCCTAAACAGCCTCGGCCCAGTATACCTGAAGGAGCGTCTCCACCCCCATCATTCAACATGGACATTGAGGTCCAGCTCCAAGGGCCTTCTGGCAGTTCCCTCACTGCAAGAAGCAAAGTTACAGAGAACCAGGCAGAGGGCCTTCTCGGTGGTGGCGCCCACTCTGTGGAACGCCCTCCCATCAGATGTCAAGGAGATAAACAACTACCTGACTTTTAGAAGACATCTGAAGGCAGCTCTGTTTAGGGAAGTTTTTAATGACTGATGTTTTAATGTATTTTTAATCTTTTGTTGGAAGCTGCCCAGAGTGACTGGGGAAATCCAGCCGGATGGGCGGGATATATATAAATAATATATTCATTGTTTTTATTTTTATTTTTATTTGTACACTGCCTATCTGGTTGGGTTGCCCCAGCAACTCTGGGTGACTTCCAACATATATAAAAAAATCACAAAACCTTAAACCTTAAAACCTATACAGGGCTGCCTTCGGATATATTCTTTTTTTTTTTTTAATTATATTTATTGAGAATTTTAAGATTACAAAGAAAAAAGAAGGAAAAAACAAGAGAAAGAGAAAAAGAAAGAAAAAAAGTAGATAAAAGTAACAATTAAACAATACAAATCAATAAAAACCAAAGTCAAAAAGAAAAAACAAAACACACAATACATCAAAAGCAAAAAGCAAAAATAAACAAAAAATTTAAAAACAGATCCAATATTCCCAGATCCTTAACTGTCATTACCTTATTTCATCGACCTCCTCACACCTCCCTTTTTTGTATTCTAGTTGTTAATTATCTCAGCAAATCCTTTCCATTTTTCACAATATTCTGTCATTAAATTACCTTAATCTATTTTAAACTTGTCTTACCATAAAAAACCCTAAAACTTAAAACTTAAATCTTATTTATACCAAATTCTCTTAACCATAACATATTCTTACATAATTCTTTTTAACATTTCTGCTAAAGCCCAATAATTTCATTCCAACATTTTTCTAATACGCATTAATTTTACGATACTTTTCTAAATGAATTTTTAAAACTTTCTTCCAGTCTTCATCCATCGTCTCTTCTTCCTGGTCTCGGGTTTTGTCAGTCCTTTCTATCCCATCCATCTAGTCCATCAACCTGGTGACCTTATGTCCGAGGCTCTTAAGTCTCTTCCATGTCCCTTCCGCAGGTCTTCTTCATATTTATACCTGTACTTTACTTTGTCTTCTGCTCCTTTCACTCGGGGAGACTCCAGCTTGACAATATTTTTGTCCCTTCTCAACAAGTCAGCCCCTTTTCCATAGTCAACACTGAAATCCATGTGATATTTAAAGGCATGTTTCAAGGTCCCTCCAAAGTTAAAGGCCCCCACAACTCCAAGCTCCCCCCGGCCCAAAGCCAGACTTGAAGGGTCAAAACATCCCTGCATAGGGGGGTCTATCCAGCCCCCCATCTCCATGCCAAACTGGACTCCATCTCTCCAAATCTGACTTTTTCCAGGTTCGTTCGTCAAATCCAACAACTCATATTCCTGCTGGGCCACAGCTCCCTCCATCTCTGCCACCCGAGGTCCAGCAACAACCTCCTCCCTCATCTGATCTGTCAAAGCACATTCCTGGATTAATTCCTGAGTGGGTTCTATATAGGTACCCACTGCCTGTCCAAAATTTCCGATCGCAACAGTCATCAAATCCATCTTCTCATGTAACTGTTCCAATAAAGCACTTGTCTTGCAAAAGGCAAGCACCAGAGCCTCCGAGTACATTCTTGTTCAAGGTCGAAGTCTGGTCCCACGATCTTAATCTATTGCAGCTGCAAAGCTCCCCAGTTCGGTTTTAATAACAGTTTCACAAGCTCCCTCTAGGGGAAACAATTTCTATTTGTATCCATCTTTTCTTTTCTTTTTTCTTTTTAAAGCAGATCTAGCAACAAAGTTTTCCTTTTTCAGATATTTTGTCAATATTTTGTTCCTTTTAAATGCGAAGGGGAACAATGGAATCAATATGTTTCTCTTCTTTTAACTATCTGTCAAAAACGTTTGTCCATAGTCAATGAACTTCCCCAGAACGTCTGTCCTGACACCCTGCTCCCAGGTTCAAGACGGTGGAAAATTGCCTTTCTTTACTCTCTCAGTCTAAAAAAGGTTCCCCCCTCTTCTCCTGCTTCCAAGGGGGGGGGTTCAGTAATTTTAAATGATGAAAATTTGATCCTTTACAGACGACTTTCTAAACTCTAGCTTGCCGTGTCTTTGCTTTAATCTATCTACAAAAGTGGAAGGCGGACTTTCTGTTTAGACCTTCCCGCTTCAGTGCCAAATTGAAAGAAATTTCTTAATCCAATTTTCCGTTCTACTCACGGGCAGTTATTTAAAATCCAATTGTCCACAGGAAAAAGTCAGCGCTCTCCGGCAACAGCAATGCGGCTTCACTCCGTGAAAGAAGCAGTTGATTCAAAGCACCACGCCACTCACCCCCACGTCGCTCCGGAACCCCGAAACCGGTGCCGGCCGAATCCCACGTCCACAGGCTTCTCCCGCCTGTGGTTTTTGATGGGTCTCCGCCTCGCTGTGGCGGTTCAGACCCTGTTTTCCACGGAGCGGATTCCTCCTGATTGGAGGAAATCCGCCATTGCCAGAGGCACCAACCCGGAAGTCTGCCTTCGGATATATTCTAAAGGTTATAGAATTACTTATCTCCTTGA